CTCCAAGTCATGTTTACTTGTTTTATGAAATTAGAATTGTAACATTTCTTGCATAGTAATAAAATATAATATAATTGCAAGTATAAATATAATAATGTATTTCTAATACTTTGTTAAGTTCTTCGATAAGAAGAGCATAGTGAGTTAAATAATAGAATTTATCAAATTGATGTATCCTAATTATTTCATGCATGTCCCCTATAACTACATAAAAAGTAAGAATTAACAAGAGAATATAACAACGGTAAAATTAAATATCAATAAATATATAAGCAAGTAAACTTGAATGCAATATTTTTCACTAGTCTCAAAGGAAAAAACATAAGGACAAGCTGTGAATTGTTCTATTATTGTAATATAAATATATTAAACTTGATATTGAAATGAAACATTTACAAGACCTATTAAAAACTTTAAAAGTAAACAAGCTACTAGCTTAAATTAATACAAAATTCTTAAAGGTTAGTATTTTGCATTATAAAATTACATTGTGGTTTCTTAACGTTCTTTAGCTTATGTGTAATTCACTATTAATAATTTTAAAAAATATATTTTTCACAAACGTATCCTAACCGTACCGGTATCCTATTTTTTTAGGTTTTGTCGTATCGCCATATCCGTATCGTGTCGTATCCATATCTCGTATCCATATCTATGCTTCCTAGCCAATCAAAGTTATAATTCATTGCACTCCAATATTTATTCTTTTAAAATAAAAGAAAAGAGGCTAAGGGAACTTATCTACACTGGCAATTTCCACATAAACTACAATGTTACTCAGGAAAAACAACAAAAGACATGAAAATTCATAAACGAATACACCAAAATTGAATTTATACCCAAATTGGTTGAGTAAAACAAAAGAACAGGATATAAAAGCAAGAGAGTTACCTCTCATGAAGTAATCCCTCCATGACATAGTTACCCTGGGCTGAAATCTTTGAGGCCAAAACCATGTTATAGCAGTTGATAACACAGCTTGCATTGCAAAGTGAAATGTATTCATCAATAAAGGAGCTGGGAACTTTCCCAAATCATCTCCTAAGAGAGTTTTATTGTACCTGGTGGAACAGAAGCATATTAAGAACAAACAAGTTTAGAACAGTGAGAAGAAAAGGTTTTAAGAATCAAACATTTAGCCAATTACTGATTGAGTATAGGACAAACTTACAGGGTCAAAATCGTGCTGAAAGTGTACCAGACAAGTATAAAAAACAAAGTCTTCATGACATCAATGGCAGAAATAGCACTCTTTCTATGTGAATGAGATGCTCCATGGTTATCCATAGAATTGGAGCCATTTTCTCCAAGATTTGAGAAATTTTGCTCTCTTTCAGACACATTTTCAATATCAAAAGCCACATACTTTCCATTTGCATTTCTCACATCATGAGTTGGAACACCATCCTTATCATTTTCACCATTCATCTCCCCGTCTAAATGACCCTTTTCTAACCCACCTTGTTGTAGCAAAGGCAATTCAAAGTGGAAGTCCTCTATTAGATCCACATTTTCTAATTGGTCATCTGTATGGAATACCCCATCTTCATCACACCAACCCGAGAAAGAAGGTTCCCTCGGAAGACTTGACCCTTGACTTCGTTTCTGACTGTAGTTATGTTCAGTGATCTTATCCTTTTCTGTATCTGAATCACTCTCGTTCATCTCATTTCCTGCTTGAGGTCAGAGCCATCTACACTCCAACCCTCCCAACCACCCAACAGCCAACAAATTTACTTCAGAACTTACAAAGCTTGTCTGAATGAACTGAAAATGTACTAATCCAAAGATATCAAACTAGACCCTTCCTATCCAAAACACCAACCACAAAATCAATCAATTTCCGACTAACCCACCCAAATTCAATGTCAAGTACACAACTCCAATTAATACAAACACCGGAATACAACCTGTTATTGCAAAATTAACATAAATTGTAAATGAAAATATTACATAAATTTTAAAAATGAAAAAAATAATCTATGGTCAAAGACTAAGCTCATAATTTGTTAGTATGCAACATTTCAGAACCAATTTTCCAACCAAAAAAGTCAAATAATCAACTCCAGCTGAGACTATTTATAGAATTTACAAAATCTGATAAAAATTCAATGAAATTCAAGCCACAATTCAAACAACTAACTATAAAAAAATGAAAACGAAAATGAAGGGAGGAGTTCATAGACAGACGTGATTTTCATAAAGCTTCAATGAGAGTTGCAGAGAGAGAGAGTCAAAATGACCTGAGGTCGTAGAGAGATTGATGAAGCGTTTGATCGAGGAGAGAGATAGACAGAGATCGATCCGATCTGGTTATTTGTCGAATGGTTTGGGTCGGTGAGAAATCAAAAGATTTCGGAAAGTGTTTGGTGGGTTGAATGGCGATTGGGCGTTTGGTATTTTTCTGGTTTGGGTGTTGTTGATGGTTTCGTTAGTGCGTTGCTTTCCCTTCTAAATAAAGCGTTGCTTTTTCTTTATTTTCATTTATTTTTGAAAATCTGTAACACAACCCCCCCAGTTACTTCTTCTGCCCCAGTATGTCTGTGACCCATTAAGAGTCCGGATTTGTTAAAATTAAAAATCTCAATATTATAGTAAAAATTGATTTATTATTCAATTAATTTAGATTTATTGATCTAAATTGTTTATCTTATATAAAAATATTATTCATATAAAAAACTAAATTAATCAATCATTGATTGTCATACTATTAGATTATTTTTATTTATGCAACTTACATCTTTTTAAAAGTAAATTGTTCAAGTATTATAATATATATGTAATTTGATCATGTATGATCAATCTAATTTTTTACATGTGTACTCTTCTCAGTTTGCTATATAAGATAAACGGTTAAAATTATTGACATGAGTCCAGATTAGTCTCACAATGCACTATTTTTTCTCATGAAGTTGAGATATTCAACGTTATCAAATTCGAACTCACTTATTAATGGGTAATTCTATACTTGGATTACAAAAATAAAAATAAAATCTCAATACACATTATTTGTAAGGATTGTATATAAATTTTTGGATATGTTACTGATAGATCCTATTTTTGGCACTTATTCCTATTAAGTCTTGTTGATAAATTTATCAAGTGATAAATTTATTAGTCTCTCTCATTTTTATGAATAAATTCACAGTGTTAAATTTATTAGTTAGGACCTATAGATAAATAAGTCTAATTAATAAAAGTAATTGGTAAGTGTCCCTAAATTTTTAAACAAAAATCAAATATTTAGACATAAGCTTTCGAACAAAAATAAATTATTCACATACATTCAGTTCAATTGTTAATATCTGAACACATCGAAATCATTTAGAATGATTTTTTTTTTCAACAGCACTATATACCCCCAGTGGGGGTCGCGCCCCCAGTGACGTGGCGCGCCCCCACTGGCTGAAAACTTAAAAAAAAAAAAAAAAAAAAAAAAACAGTTTTTTTTTTCGGACCAATCTGGGGCCGACACCTCACTGGGGGTCGACCCCCAGTGGGGGTATGAAGCATAAATCTTTTTTTTTTTAAAGTGATATTAGAGTGATTTTTTTCATAATTAATTATTTTTTTGTTTGTAGTGTGTGTATTGAGATTTTATAGTGTAAAAATATAATTTTTCTCAATTAGTTCATGGTACCTATAAAATTACAAATTTTTTTCCCATAAATGCTACAATAATCATATTTATATATAATATTGAGTTTAATATCTCATTTATCATAATTGTATTTATTGTCCTCGTTTGGGATATGGGTTTATAACGCCCCAACCCTTTATATGTCATCGATATTATTCACTTTGGGTCACGCCCGCACGAATTTATTCTTCCCAGTGAGTCACCCATTCCAAAACTACTCCAGCCTAAACACGTTTAACTGTGGAGTTCTGATAGGGATCTTACCACCCGGGAAAAGGTCTCGATGCTATATAAGAGTCTAGGTTTTTACTTTTATAGCTTAGGAACTCCCCCTCCATTCCCGATGTGAGATACCAGGATCTTACAATCCACCTCCCTTAAGGCTGCACGTCTCCGTGCAATAGCCTACCAGCTTACAAGCTCGCCCGCATACACTGAGAGACGCCAGGGGCCCACACTCGGTACTTCGGAGAGTCGGCTCTGATACCATTTGTAACGTCCCAACCCTTCATATGTCATCGATATTGTCCGTTTTGGGCCATGCCCGCACGGATTTGTTCTTCCCAGTGGGTCACCCATACCAGAACTACTCTAGCCTAAGCACGCTTAACTGTGGAGTTCTGATAGGGATCTCACCACCCGGGAAAAGGCCTCGATGCTATTTAATGGTCTAGATTTTTACTTTTATAGCCTAGGAAGTCCCCCTCCATTCCCGATGTGAGACACCAGGATCTTACAAGGTTGACTTTTTGATTTTTTGACTATTTTAGCCTTGAGCTAAAAGGCCTCATTTGAGATGGACTTTATGGCTTTTTTGACTTTTATAAGAGAAAAAAATGAAATGATTTTGGTTTGGATGTGACATTTTGTCTTCTTAACTTTTTAGCCTATTTTGTCTTTTTATGACTAAAATAGCCTGAAACCAACATCCCAAACATAGCCATTGAATGGGTTTATTGAGGAGCTCATTATGATTTAATGATCTTATTCGCTTATTTTGCTTATTCATGCATGTAGACCATCTACAAAAGAAAAGGGCTTTCAGTTCATAAATCCAATTTTGAATTTTGTATGTCAAAAGATCCATGCTCTAAAACTTTTTGTCCATAAGGACAAGCTCTTTGATAACCCAACACGTACTATACTTAATTATATATGTGATTATATATTTGATATGAATTTGTAAGTTTAAGTATGAGAAATATGTGATTTTGAAAAAATATCTATTGAAAGTAGGAATATCTATTGCAATTAGAACTTTGAACTCAAATTGGGAGCCGTAGAGGCGCGATAAACAAAAACCAACTTCATATCTATGATTAGCATGATTTTTAGAGCCTTTAGTGAGATTTTGAAAAATTACGATTCGTAATGATTAAATTGGAATTTTAAAACTAAGTCACATATATGTTGGCTTCTTGCGTTTCTTATTGTGCTTAAGAGTTCTAAAGTGTGAGTTAAAGAGAGAAAGAAAAGAAAGCTAGGGATTTGAAGGAAATCAAGGAGCAAACTATAGATTTGAATTAAGGTATGGAAAATCACTCACAAACTTTGATTCTAACTCATCTTTGTTAAGAAATCAAGAAAAGATTAGGGGTTTGAGCTAGGGTTTTGAGTTGTATAGTAGTTTGAGCTTAAGACATGAGATTGAACCCTAATCTCTCCATCTTTGTTGATTTAAGTCCACTCTTGCAATTGACCCATGAAACAAACCTTAGATGATCTATGGAAACAAGTTTTGTTGTAAGATTATTCATGGTTTATATACTTTGAATTTGTTTGTGTAATGTATGAATATGGGAAAAAGATGAGACCATGGAATTGTTGTTGATGCAAGATTGGTATGTTTAATGTAGAATTACACTTGTATCATGCTTAGATATCATGCTTTTGAGTTGTTTTTGCATGAATTTGAGTTTGGAAATGAGTTGAAAGGTTTGGCCTTTTTTGGCAATTTTCGGACAGTCTGAGTTTGTCTAGATCGCACGAGCAGCCACAAGCACCGCACGAGCGGAACATGAAGAAAAAAAGAAGTTTTGATTCTGCTCCTTGGGCGCTCAAGTGGCCGGTTTTTCCGCTCAAGCGGATTTGGGCCACACGAGCGGTGAAGACTTTCGCTCGTGCGGAACCCCTATTTCAGCCCATCTTCAAAAAGACATATCTCCTTCATCTAGACTCCATTTTAAGCGATTCTTGAGCCTAAATTCAAGCCCTCGAAGTCTTGTTTCTAATGGTGGTGGTCTCACACCCAAAGTCTAAGTACACAAATAGATATGCTCAAATTAGTGAAAGCTACTTATTTTCTTTTAACCGTTTCATGTCAATTCCTATCCTAACTTAGTTTCCTTTCGCTTCTTGCTATTTCCTTAAATCTTAAATAAGTAAACATGATATGTTCAATGAAAAATATATGAAATTATCATAGGAAACATTAATTTAAGTCATGAACATATAAGGCCGTTTAAGGTACATCTTTGGAACATGCTTTGTACGTGGTTCACATGTAGAGAAGATTAGTATTAAACACTTGAAAGAAATTAAAGAAAAGTGTACGAATTGAAACAAATGATTTATTGAATGTGTATGCGACATGTTTTGTGTAGGTCGAATGCCGAAGGCAACGCCGCAAGACCAAATGTACTGTGAGTAGTAATATAGTACATTTATACTCCTTGTTGCGTATCTTGAACCATGAAAGGTGATTGGTGCCAACATTATGAATAGATTGGAAATGATGAAACTTCATTGAATTATATCACATGTGCTAAATGATTGGGCCCGAGGCAACTTGATAAATGATTGAGCCTGAGGTTGCTTGTTAAATAATTGGGCCTAAGGCCGCTTGATAAATGATTGGGTCTGAGGCCGCTTGTTATATGATTGGGCCCGAGGCCGCTTGTTAAATAATTAGGGTCGAGGACGCTTGTTATATGCTTGGGCCTAAGGCCGCTTGGTTTATATGATTATGGATATTGAGAGAACCTTATGATCATCTACTTACACTGTTTTACTGTATTATTACTCATTGAGCTTCGCTCACCCAATTTTATATATGCACATGTAGGTGATCAGCAGCATGGAGCACACCCCTAAAGTCAGCTTCAGGAGCCTTTTATGACCCAATCCAGTCATGCCTCCGAGACAAAGTTTTGTCTTGGCTCACACCACATTTTGACCCTATTATGTTTTTGCTTTCATGGTCTTGGGTTGTAAATATTATGTACGATTTTCCTTTGGCTCTTATATTTTTGATAGGCATATATATGTATTATTGTGTTACGTTGTTAACTCTATGATTTTGCTCATGATTGGCATAGCTCAATGGACTTCTCTTTATTATATGCTTCCGTTTATGGCCCCATTAGCATAGATATTCTGTATGATCGTTTGAGGCCTTCGGTAATCTACGGATTACTAGCCGATTATGACCCAAACTTTTAGGGGCGGGTTCGGATCATGACAAGCTCTTTTAAAATGACCATACTACCCTTCAACTTTTACACATTTTATGTCTTTCATTTCTCTCACATCTCTCATCGCATCTCTCTTTCTTTCTCTCTCTCTCTCTTGTCTTTGTCTTCATCTTCACCGCCGACAATCTTCATTTCGTCGTCGACGCCACTGTTCCTCCGCCACTGCTACATTGCCACCAGCACCCTCACTGCCGTGAAGCCATCGCCCGTACTACCACACTTTTTCCCTATATATACATACACACATGTATATATATATATATATATATATTTCTCTTTCCTTACTTCTTCTTCCAAATTAATAGCGATTCTAGCAATTTCAAAGTAGGTGATGAAGGCAGCAACATCGTCGGGGTT